AAGCTTCGGGCAGCGAGTAAATTTTACACTCCTATCAATGTTAATGTTAACATGTTAATGTGAATATTCACAATGTCACGGGTCGGGCTGCGGTCGGGCTTCGGGCCGCCCACGGGCTGCGGGCCAATTTTTCACTCTTATCAATGTGAATGTTAATATGTCAATGTGAATATTCACATTGTCAATGGGCTGGGTCGGGCCCACCCTAGGTTGCTGGCCAATTTTATACTTTTATCAATGCAAATGTTAACATGTCAATGTGAATATTCACATTGTTAACAGGCTGGGCCGGGCCCGCCCTGGGCCGCCCACGGGCCGTGGGCAGGTTTCCGGCAGCCACGGGGCGCGGGCTAATTTTACACTCCTATCAATGTGAATGTTAATATGTCAATGTGAATATTCACATTGTCAACGGGCCGGGCCGAGCCCGCTCCAGGCCACGGGGGCTTTTGGCTGCCCATGGGCTGCGGGCCAATTTTATACTCTTATCAATGTGAATGTCAGCCATACTGCCTCAACAGGAAGGCATGTCATACACTTTTTGATAAAAAAAAAAAGTTACATATGTAAAGCCACAAAGTTTGATGGTAATGTTGGGCCCTTGGGGGTCTACTAAGGGTTCCGTTTTGATAATTCAAACCGTTGAATATGTAGAACTCGTCGAGTACTATATGTCTGTAAAAAATCACGTTGATCGTATATTGTTAACTATATGATCAAATCAGTTTTGTATAAATAAAACGGATGGTGTGATAGTTAACTGTTGAACAAAAACTAATACAATCATAGCTATCGATATCCGATCAACGTGATTTTTTACAGGCATACAATACTCGATGAGTTGTACATATTGAACGGTTCAGATTATTAAAATGGGATCCGTGGTCGCCTTCACGAACCGACGATCACTGTCCAAACACTTTGCCCCCGAAGGAGGCAATAATTTGCTGTGCAACCTACTCAACTTTATTCCCCTATACACATTATTTATTACACATTTTTTTGTAAAAAGACAAAAAATTAACCCAAATATTCATATTTTTTTCCTCAACTTTTTAGTTCAAAAAGACAAAAAGTGCACTTATTTAGGACACCCCAAACAACCACTTTAAATTATATTTCAATACTACATTTACTAGTAAAAAATATTATAAATTTTAGAATAAATTACATTTTGCACCCTTTATGTTTAACCACTTTCTCACTTTGAGCCTTAAAGTTTATTTTTGAAAAATTCTTGGTAACTCAAATTCATGTGGCCTAAATTGCTGGAATGTATCAAAACGACATCGACACCATTTTGATACATTCGAGCCATTCGGACCATGAAAATTCGGGCTACCAAGCAGTGTTATTTATTTTTTTCTCACTTTGACCTTTTATGTTTCAAGTTTTTCTCAATTTACTATAAAAGTTAATTTTTGTTCAAAATTAGATAGAAAATGTCATAATAACTGTCATATAATATGAAATATATATTATTATATTAAAGTTTAAGTTTATATTACAGATGTGAATTGTATATAATAAAATATTTTTATATCACGTGGTTGTTAATGTGTCATTTTTTATCTAATTTTTAACATAAATTAACATTATGAGTAAATTGGAAAAAAGTTGAAATATGAAGGATTAAAGTGAGAAGAAAAAAAAAGAAAAAACTTTAAATGTCAAAATAAAAAAGTATAGGCCTGGTTTGGGGTGTTTAAAAAAAATCTAAAAAGTCAAAAAGTAAAAAAAAAAAAAAAAACATCACTATTCACAAATTAAAAATATAAAAAATTAATATACATAATATTTTAATATAAACTAATTTTACTCCATTCTAGGCACTGACGTCAAAGGAAAATACAGTAAAAGGAGCCAAAAAAAAATTTACATATATATATTCACTAAGTTCGATGGTAATGTTGGGCTCGTGGGGACCCCTTACGAACCGTTCAATATGTAGAACTCGTCTAGTAATATATGCCTATAAAAAATCACGTTGATCGGATATCGCTAACTACATGATCAAATTAATTTTGTATAAAAAATGGATGGTGTTATAGTTAACAGTTGATAAAAAAACTAACACGATTAGATAACTATTGATATCCAATCAACGTGATTTTTTACAAGCATATAGTAGTTGACGGGTTTTACACATTGAACGGTTTCAATTAGCAAAACGGGACCCTGTGGTGGGCCCCCACGGTCCGAACAACACCGTCCAATTCAAGCCCGAAAAGGAGGCAATCATTTCCCATTTCCTAACCAGCCCACTACACTGCCCAAACTGTATGGGCTACTTCACTAAATTCTCCTATACACTTATTTATATAATTTTTTAATACACATTTTTTCGTAAAAAGTCAAAAAGTTAACCCAAACATCCATATTTTTTCCCTCAACTTGTATCTTAAATCATTTTTAGAGAAAACATTTATGCTATCAAAATCCATGCTTTCTCAAATGAAACATATATCTGAATCCATTACAAAACATTTTACGTGTTACTTGGTATATATACAAAGGATCACGAATGCATTTCAGAAAGGGACATTCATTCATTCATGTAATATAGCATTTTTTTTAAACATGAGTCATACAACAGTTTCCAAAAACCTATATTCACATCACATTTACAGAACGACCTTGGGTCCACAGAATAGCCTCTGGCCCACATATGATACAGAACAAGCTTGGGCACACACTTAGTACAGAACTACCTCAGGCCCAATCACATGTTAACACAACTGTTCAAAATGACCTCAGATCCAATTGTATCTTATCGTGGAGTAGATGGAACATAAACATGTCTCCATCTCTCACATAGAACGGAACAGTCTTGGGCCTAACATATCGTAGCATGAATAGAACGGCCTTGGGCCCACTTATCATATTACAAACAGTCCACATTTCATATTCATAAACCATATCATATTTCTTGAAAACGCATTCATTTAGAACAAAATACGATGTTCAAAAAATCATGTCATTCATAAATCAAAATAGATAATTAAGAACATATCTTTACTTTACTATTACTCACAGTGTTTTATCGGTTGAGCCACCTCGACTGAGAAACCTACAAAAACATATGCAACTACAATATCTTAATTCACATTTCATCTATTCAGTTCATTCATTCCTTATTCGTTCATAAATTTTCTATTCATTCTTTAACTATGTATTCAATGTGCATATTGAAAAGTCTTAGGTATCCAACAAGCTAAAAAAAAACTTTTAGCATTTTATGTCAAACGAGCTCCAAATCATTTTCTCAACAAATACGTGGAAAAGACTCAAACATGCACAGTTGGTTTGGGAAGTTAAATATTTTAGTTGATGTTTTTTTTATAATTATTTTAATTTGGTTAAAAAATTATATTTAGAAAGATGATTATTTTTTTAAAATAAAATCATATGTACTAATTAATATATCAATTACTGTATTAATAGTAGTTCAAAAAAAAAATAATGTATTAACAGATAAAGTGACATAATTTTAGGATTTTGGCCCTGTTTGGTTGTGTTTTCAAACTAGTTTTCTGGTTGATGGTTTGAGTATGATGTTTGGATACTCTGCAGAAAACTCTGTCAAACAGAGCGCGTTTTTCAAATTTTTTTTCAAAATTTGGCCTAACCGGTTTTCCAGTCGGTTGACCGAAATAGTGATTTTTTTTGTGTGCAATTGATATGTTAATTTTTATATATTCGAAAAAAATATTTTCTGAATTTTTAAATTTTTTTTTATGTGTTTTAAAATAATTTTGAGTTTTATGTTTAGTTATGAGTTGTAAGTTTTTTGTATCAAATATCAAATGCCACATCAAATATTCCTTACTCAATTCAAACTCTTTTCAAAACTATTTTCAAAACTCTCACCAAACAAATTTTCCACGCTCAAATCATAATTCCAAACCTCACAAACTCAAAATACAACTCATACTCTCAAATCATAATTACAGAACTCTACCAAACGCAATTTTAAATTTTTGTAATTTGCATAATGGGTAGGATTCATGTTTTTGAAGTAATAATGTTATATATTATGTTAGTACGTTAATTGGTATATCAATTAGTGCGTGGAGCACCATTATTATTATTATTATTATTTTAATTGATTTGATGTTTATGAGATAAAAACTAAAAAATTATGATTTAGATATGACGTTGTGTTTTATTAATTATTTTAGCTTATTTTATCTTTATTAGTAATTATTTTAGCCAAAAAAAATCATTGCCAAACAGGGCCTAAGGATTCGTTTTGGAATAACCTTTTTGCCTTTTTTTTGTTTTTTTGTTTTGTGCCTTTTTAACTAATTTAGCATGAATAAATTGCTCTGTTTGGAAAGAATTTTTAATTTTTTTTGTAAGAAAAAAAATGAAATAATTATAATTTGTATGTGATTATTATGTTTTATTAACTTATTTAATTTATTTATATTTTTTTAGTGGGGGGCATCTGTAATTTAGCCAAACCTCGAGGGGTGTATATGTAATTTGCCCTTAATTTATTTATATTTTTTTAGTCCCAATCCAAGCCCAACACACTTGCCAAACGAAAACATTCATCACAATGCCCGATTATTTTATCACTTTGGTCTTTAAAATTTATTTTTCTCATTTTGGTCATTTATGTTTTAAATTTTATTTCAATTTATTTTAGAAGTTAATTTTGGTCAAAATTTATAAGAAAATATAACGGTAACTGTCATATAATATAAAAAAAAAAATTATCTTAAGATTTTGATTTGTATCAAAAGTGTAAGATATATATAAAAAAATATTTTTATAACATGTGTTTATTGATGTATAATTTTTTATATAATTTTAATGGTAAATTAATTTTTGAAGTAATTGAGAAAATTTTAAAATATAAAGAGTTAAAGTAAAAAAAAAAAAAATTTAAAAATCAAACCGAAAAAATGGCCAAGGGGCAAGTGCAAAATCAAAAAAAAAAAAAAAAGACGGTTTTGATGAGACAGCATTAAAAGTATTATTTTATTTTTGCTTTTGCTCTCAATTCGAAAGACCGCCTCTCACTTGCCTACTTGACTTTGTTACTCCCTCTCTTTTATTTTCTCGTCGAAACCCTAGAACCTTGTTCGCGGAGTATTTACACGAGAAAAACCTCAACATTGTGTGTGTAGTTATGGAGTTTGGGAACGATTTCGATCGCATGCTCTTCTTCGAACACGCTCGCAAGACCGCCGAAATCGCCTACGCCAAAGATCCACTCGATGCCGAAGTCCGTATAGATTTCTGTTTACTGAATTTGCTTTTATTGGACTTGGATTCTTCTGTGATTTGTTTGGTTTATGCTTTTTTCTGATAATTTGTTCAGAATCTGACGAGGTGGGGAGGTGCTATGCTTGAGTTATCACAGTTCCAGAATGTTAGCGAATCGAAGATGATGATTCAAGGTACTAATCTCCTGCTGTTTAATCATAATTCAGTTTAGGGGCAAAAGAGAAAGAAAGACTCTAACTTTATACTCAAAATTGTAATTTTTTTTCTCATGTAATTGTGTGTTTTGGGTAAATTGGAATAAATTTTAATGTCTGTTTGGGAAAAAAAAAAATGGTTGAACTATGATTTTGATTTAGGCTCTGGTTGTTTTGGCGTCAAAAATATTTTACTCATTTGTGTTGTTTGTTTTAACAAAAAGCAAGTAAAATATTTTTTAGAGAAAATATTTTTACATTATTTTCTCATGAATAACTTACCTTTAAAAGTTCCATAGGTCAATTTTTATAAAGTTACTCTTGCAACTTTTCAGCACATTTAGGCCTCATTTGGGAACAGGCTAATTTAGTAACTTTTTGGCTATTTGGCTAAAATATGAGCTAAAAGAAATTAGTATGTTTGGGATGACTTTTTGACTTTTTACAAAAAGATGTGAAAAAGTAGAAAGAAAATAGAATTTTTGACTTTTTGGTATGTCATGTTGGCTTTTTGGCTAATTTAGTAACTTTTTGATTTTTTAGCTAAAATGGAGCTTCCCAAACGAAGCCTTTAGTCTTTTCAAATACGACACTTTATTAAATCAAAATTTTTCTTTTAAAAAATAAAATATTTTTATTTTACGTATCAACCAAACATCAAAAAAACAACAACAAATTTTTATTTATTTATTTATTTTTTATGTAAAATCAATTTACAAGAAAAATATTTTTTTGGTGTAAACTTCAAAACAAATAGAGCCTTAATGAAGACTGTCATCTTTTATGTTATAATTGGAGGTTTTAAAAGCCTTCCAGTTTGGGGGTTTGATGACTTTGTAAATTTTGATAATAGTATTGGGTGATTTAAGAGCAACCAGATTGTAAAAAAAAGTTGAACTATGATTCTAGTTTAATGAAGACTGTTACTTTATGGTATAATTGGATGGAGGTTTTAAGTACCTTAGGGTTTGGGGAATTGATGATCTGATTATGTAGATGCCATTTCAAAGCTGGAGGAGGCCTTGAAGGTTAATCCGAAAAAGCATGATGCTATCTGGTGCTTGGGTAATGCTCATACTTCTAATGCATTTTTGACCCCTGATCAAGATGAGGCTAAGGGTTCTTTTGATAAGGCAGCCCAGTACTTTCAGCAAGCTGTTGATGAGGTAAATTTTAGTTATAGAACCTGATGCAAACTCATATATTTATTATATGTGTGTGTGTGTATGTATTGGTGGCAATTATAACATCTATTGTACAGGTTACGGAAGTAGCTATTCATAGTTTGTTGTATGGTTTTGGAAATGTGATTGGGACTTCTTATGTATTGTAGGATCCGGAGAATGATCTTTATCGCAAGTCCTTAGAAGTGTCTGCCAAGGTATAATCTCCTTATCATTGATCCATATCCGTCTTATAAATCAAGATTTTCTGTGTCTGTATTACATGTGTTGCCTATTTAAATATAATAAGTCTGATTGACTGTGAAGCATTTTGACTAGAGTTTTACAACAGTTACAATGCTCATTATGAAGGCAAATAAGTAGTTGGCATAAAAAAATTGGTTTTCATGTGTTAGATATTATGGTTTCATCATAGAATATAGAGGGAGAACAATATTTTTGTGTTCTTCCCAATTTGAAGCATTGTAAAATTTTATGATTTTCCAAAAAATAATGTTTCAAGTAAATTGTAGCAGATTGATTACTGGATTATTGCTTGTGTGAAGGTTTATAGGAATTTTGTTTTCATATAAAAACTTGAATTAAAAGTACGATTTTGTTGGAAATAGGGAGAAATGGGGATTGATAAAACTAATTAATGAGAGAGAGAGACTGTTAAATTCCGTAAAAATTTCTCCCAATTTTCTTTCTATAGAAATTTTCTGTAATTGACCACTTTCCAGCTTTTCCAATATTCTGCATACACCATGCGCTTACACTACCTCTAATTGCTTAACAAAGTGGGAAATGTTTTGGGTATATTTGGGATGGATAGCGTCCCTCACTATGATATGAAATAAAGAAATTCATGTTTTCTCCATTTAGCTTTGTCTGCTTCCCTTCAGTGGTACTGTGTTGGTGTTGTTATATATGACTAATTGACACAAGACTTGGCTTGTTAGATAGGATGAAGGTTTAGTGAGTACTATGCAAAATTTCTGTACCTTTTTCCTTGCCATGTTTCCTCAAATGATTGGTATACTTTTAATTGCTAATGGCAAGCCTTACAGTTGCTCAATGTATGTTGCATGTATAGGATTCCTTGTGCAACATGTGTTACACCATTATTGTTGATTCATTCAGCCATTATTTGAGGGGAAATCTATTTTATTTGTAAATTGGTCTTTTCAAAAATATACATATGATGAGGGAAGGATAGTTTTTCTGTTGGGAACACTAATTTTAGCATTAAATAAAGTGATGAAAGTCCAGCTAAAGTAGTTGGTTTTAACAAACAAGCAATACATTTCATATTTATAGTGCTATTCAAATTTCTTGCAGTTTGTTTATGTTATTGCATGTTAATTGTCTTAAGTTTTAGTGCAAATGATACAATTTATTCACCATGAGGAAGAGGGGGAAGCCATAAAATTGGGAAAGTAGGTGGCATTCTTCTCCTGGCTGTGTTTACAGTGGAGGTTTTCTACTTTATTCTATTAGGGTTGATTGCATTGAACTTTTAGTATGTAAATCAAATATTATGATGCTGATTATGAGGGACGTAGTTGTAGGCAATCAGTCACGTGCCTTTAAGAACAGTGGTTTCTGTAGTGTTGTTGATTATCAATGGAAGTACTTCTATTCAAGTGCTTATGAATGTCTAAATGCCATTTTAATCTTGCCTAATCATGACACTGTTGAACCTTGAAGAAAAGTTTGGGTGCTCATATGTGCTCTGTTGACAAGAATTTGATTATTTAATGTGGTGGTTACAATGGTTTCTGTAGTATGATGCTGATTATTAAGAGAGTACTTGCATGAAATCTCCGGCACATATAATGTGATTTTAATCTCGATTTGTCTAACCTCAAAGCTCTCCAACCTTGAGGAAATGTTTGGGTGCTCATGTGTGCTCTCATCTCTGTGTACAAGAATGTAATTATTTTATGTGGTTGCATGCACCATCTTATATTTTTCTAAATTCTATTATAAACTTTGATAGCTGGGGGAAAGACGGGTTACCGATTCTTGATAGTTTCAATTATATACTGCTTGACTACTAATGAAAAAAATAGTATATAGTTTTTGGCTGATTATCATTGTTGGGCTATGAAGCATGGGTGTGGGTACGGATGCTGGTATGGGTATAAGTATGGATGCTGGTGTGGGTACGATATGGGTACGCTCAAATGGCAAAACCTTTGAAAAAATAGAATACGGGTACAACCGAGATATGTCAATTTTTTTTATTTTTTATTTTTTTATTTATAATTTATAGTTTTAGATCCAATCTACAAATCAAAGTTCAATACCAAAACTAAAAAGAAGAAATTACAAAACTAAAAAAGAAATCATAGTTCAACAATACCCATATCAAAGCAAAGTCTATAAGCTATTTTAATGCCATTAAATAGGACAAATTATAAAATAAAGTTTCATTCCAAAAGCAAGCTAGGCAAAATTTAAAAATTTGAAATTTTAGTTTTCACTTCCATTAAATTCATCATTGAATAATATATCTTTCTTCTCTGGCACATCAAGTAAAGGATTTGCAATTTCAAGTAAATAAGAACTCTCTAATAAATTAAACATATCTTCACCAATGTCCCATAGCTTGGTATACTCCCGATGTACCTATGAAGTACCCATGGAGTGCCGAACTGCCAAAGAATGTATAAAAAGTACTTGGTGCGCATTTTGAGTACCCGATACGCATGCAGCCCTATCGGTACGAGTATCAATACCTGGTATGAGTACGGTAACATTTTCGGAGTACTCACGCTTCATAGTTGTTGGGTGATGGCTGAAGGCTGAAGCAATTTGGAATTTGTCATCTGTTTTATGTTATATTTGTATCAGTAAATCAAAACAAATTTGTTGTCATGCTATTCTATTTCAAAATTTATTGATTAGGTTATATCTTCTGGTTTCCTAGGCTCCTGAATTGCACATGGAGATACATAAGCATGGTTTTGCTCAGCAGGCTATGGCAACCGGACCTTCCACTTCTTCAACTGCAAAGGTGATTTCTTCAGATTATTGGCAGCCTTGTCCTTCTTTTAGTTCTCTGTCTCCTTTATGAGGGGAAAAATGTAAATAAGGTGTTGCTGATTCATTTACACAAATTTCTTTTCCCCACACATTCCACTTCTTTCATCTAACCAAACTCACCTTGTTATCATAATTAACCGGAGGGTGATGCCTTGTCACCAACTTACCATGGTTACCTTAGTTCACTGTAGAACAGCACCTTGTTACCATGATTTTACTTGTCTCACATACACACACAGATGATGTAGGATTGGCAAATTATATTCGTACATGCCATACCAGTGTATGAGACCCTTCTCTGCTGATTTTGCATTAAAAGGTGTTGTTCTTTCTACTTTTGGAAATTGGAACAAGAAATAAGAAATATCTGTTCTTTCAGCAAAAACCTGTGTGTTTGTTTGTGTCTGTGTGTTTAAGGCTTTAAGCTTGAAAGCATAAAGTTGAAACTTTTGCATGGCATTTGGTTTAGTTGGTGATATCTTTCCAAGAAATGTAGCTGTAATGGGGAACATCTCTCCTCCATTTCGTCGATGAGACACTACCTGTTGTAACAAATACATTTACAAAACACTACATGTGATAAGAAAGGACTCTCGCTTCAATGTTATGAAGCTCTTTTGCATTTCAAAATTGATGATTAGCAAGATAGTTGCAGGGAGAATATTTTTGTTTCCAATGATGTGCTGCAGTTTCTTTTTGATGTTGTCTTAAATGTTTGATAGCGTGCTTGGTGTGTTTGATAATTTTTTTCTTTACTGTATTTATTTTCCTTTCAGACCACGAAGAAGAAGAACACTGATCTTAAGTACGACATATTTGGATGGATAATCCTTGCAGTTGGGATTGTTGCATGGGTGGGTTTTGCAAAATCTCATGTTCCTCCGCCACCTCCAAGATAAGTTGAGCTTATGGCCCCATGTCCGAGGTGTTTGTGGGAAATACATCTCCATCAGAGCCCTTACCTCTGATTTTGTTGAAAATCGCCCTGCACTTCGCAAGTTAATTTTTGGCCTGAGTTATTATGTTTTTCACCGTATGTAAACTGATATAATAATAAGTTAGTATTTTTAACACATGATATTTTATTTTTCTGTATTAAGTCGGGAACTATTGCTGATTAGCTGTTACATAGATTCACACTCTGGTTTTTTAGTTGAGAATTATTGACAATTAGCTGAAAGAACTTTGAAACCAAACCCCATCTGTTTAGATTCATATGATTTGTCTCTCCATGTGCGCGGCCTCGGCATGTATTGCTGTGTTGTGACCTTGGATTTAAGTGAAGGCTGTTTTCTTCTACTTTTTGACTTGAAACAACTCAAAACATTAATGAGGTTTGAGCAGTGGTAGTTGGTTCTCAATCTTTTGCATGAATTGTGCTTGAAATGCCATATTCATCTTTAGACCCAATCAATTTGATGTACATGGTTTCTCAAAAAAGCTTTGGCGTGGGACAATTTCTTGTGGCCAACCAATAAAGTGTTCGGCTTTTGGCTTTGCTGTTTTCGCAAATGTACCATAGTGCTTGGTTGCAGCTGAAATTTAATTTCTGACAACTCTCTCTCTCTCTCTCTCTCTCTATATATATATATATATATAGCAAAAATACTAACCATTCACAATGAACCCTCCCATGTTATGAAAAGTTGGTAGTTTATATTGTAAATCATTCAGGGTCACTAATATCTCTAATAAGTTATAATTTGTTAAGAAAGTTATAAAGCTCTTATATTAAAATAAGGGTAAATTTCACTTTGCCCCATGTACTCTAAGTCATGTGTAGTTTACCTCCTAATATTTTAAAGGAAAACACTTTGGAGTTGGAAAAAACTTGGTCCGAAATGGCTCAAATACCTAAAATGACGTCGTTTTGGGTATTTTTTTTAATTTTTTTTTCTTTCCTCTCTGAAACCGACAGAAGGAAGAAAGAGGCGTGAGAGAGAGAGAGAAGGTGAAAAGATGGAGAGGAGGAGGAAGAGAAGGAGAAGGAGAAAAAAAAAGACGGAGAGGAAGAGAAGAAGAAAAACAGAGACGGGGATCTGTATACACACAGAGGAGACCAATACTGTACACAATGGTGCCTGTGCACAACCTATGTCACTGGGTATGAGAACTCTCTCTCTCTGTAAGGTTACACCTTTCTTATAGAATTATAAGGATGATTTGTTGCCTGCACATTACAAATGAAGAATTGGTTATGGGTTTAATGATTTCTTCAATTTGCTGACTGTGTCAGAATTATAATAGCATTGCTTCTTGTTGATTGAATGCAAATGCTAGAAAGAGGGCTTTGTCTGAGAGGAAGACAACAGTTGTTGAGGGGAAACAACACTGCAGCCCTCCCCATGGGTGTGAAAGAGAAAGGCAACTGATGAGGGGTAGGTTTGATTTTTGATTTTAATTTTTGTTTTTAATTTGAATCTGTCTGGGTTTGATATGTGAGTTTGATTTTTGGTTTTGATTTGAATCAAACCCACACAGAAAAACAGAGAGGATTTGTTTGATTTTTGGTTTTGATTTGAATCTGGGTTTAATTTTTGGATTTTATTTGTCTGATTGGTTTTGATTTTTAATTTTTGGGTTTGAATCTCTCTGCTCTCTCTCTTTGTTCTCCTCTCCTCTCTTTTCTTCTTTCTTCTTTCTCTCGGAGTTATGGAACTTGCGAACTATGAAAAAAAAAAAAAGCAAAAAAAAAAGAAGAAGACCAAAACGATGTCGTTTTGAATTTCGGGCCACTCAAGCCTATGATGTTTCGAGCTACCTAACGCGGTTGTATTTAAAAATAATTATATAATCTCATTGTGATTTGTGGATTAAAATGCATTATTAAGTCCATTAACGATTTAATAAAAAGATTAAAATACCCTAGTGTTTTAAACCATACAAGATCCAAACTGCAGGAATAAAAAGAAGTTTGCCCTCAAAATAAAAATAAACAATATACAGATCAAGAAAAAAAAAAAAAATATATATATATATATATATATATATATATATATGTAACAGATCAAAAACCCTAACACCCTAAACGGTCAAACAAACAACCTAAGAACTACAAACAACAAAATACAAATCATAACAAACAACAAAATACAAAATCATAAAAAAAATAACAGTTACAATCCAAAAAAAATAATCGCATATGTGGTTTGAAAAAGCAAAAACTGCATCAAAGGTGCCGTGGCCGTCGTCTCCGTGTATTCTTGGCAACCATCCTACCGAGGAGGAGATTACCGCCAGAGCACAAACATTTGCTACGACTGTAAAATCAATTAGCGAGATTGTCCATCAAGGTCCATGGTGTTGCGTGTCTTCTCAATAAATTCCTCCGTCCACCTAGTAAAGCTCAACAATGCAACTGAAGTAAAAAATTTACGAGTGTAGCAGTTAATGAAAGTCCCAATCAATTATAGAAAAGAAAAGAAAGAAGTCCCAATCAAAAAAAAGAAAAGAAAAAAGTCATCTCCCTCTTTCTTCAATGGCTATAGAGAGATCAAAAAGCCAAAACTTCCATTTTTTTAGCCACAATTTTTAATTGACTTTCAAATCTTTACTAGGTAAATTATTCAGTAGTCTCCATCCATCACAAAACAAATTTTTTTACTAGTGAAACGTACTAACTCATTTTTATTAGGTGGTTGAAGACATAATATCACTTAGGCCTTGTTTGGCAAGTGATTTTTTAGCCAAAAAGTCACTAAAAAAAATCAAAAAACTAACAACCTATACAAAAAAGTCAAAGATTTTATTTTCTCTCTATTTTTTGTACATCTTTTCGTAAAAAATCAAAAAGTCATCACAAATATACTAATTTTTTTTACATCATATTTTAGCCAAAAAATTAAAAAGTTATTAAACAAGCCTATTCCCAAACAAAGCCTTAATGTGTATTTCAGCTTCTTATTGATCGAGAATATCACATGGAGAAGACTACATAGTCACTACGAGCGTATCTAATAATTTTCTAAGCTGTACCAACAGTCAATTTTGACACAGTAAAAAAGAACCTACCCAATAAATTGAAAGTCGCAGCTAAGGCTTGAAGCCTCATCAGTTCGCCAGGGCCAGTTAAGGAGGCGTATGAACTTCTTTAAGTCAGCAGTTATGACTCTGACACCAATTGTTGTGGGTAGTTGCCCAGAATTACTCCTTTTTTTGGTTGCTCTTCTTCTTCAAAACTTAACCCATATCCTCATAACATTACTTGGGTGACATTGAATTGCATAGCATTCCCCAACATCCATTAGTTTCCACCATCCAGCAATTACCACCCTCATCCTCTCCGATCATTGCTTTAATGTAAACTACAGAGCAGATTCCAACATGGGTCCGCTCAGTCTTCTTCGTCTCTATCTTTATTTTGCATTGTTGCTGGTAGGTGTATTCAACTCCACACAATCAATGGTTCTCATTCGTCTTGATCAAACTCCGCCAACTCGATCAAGATTCTCCACTGCTGTTTTCCGGTACTCGGTCGTGGAGATGAACGGTTCCAACACTTGCAAGAACGGTGGTTGTTCCATTCACTGCAAGGTAAACAATCCTATCAGTTTTTTTTTTTTTTTTCCTCTTTGTTTTTGATTCAAAAGTTGACTTTCATATGCATACAAGGGAATGTTTATACTCCTAATATAGAATGAATGCAAGAAATTATCCATTATTAATGAGAGCATATAATTTACTGACACCAAAATCTACTTTGAATTCAATATGGGGCAACTTTCAACCTGTTCAAACCACCTAATATTTGTCCCTATGTTCATCTCCAAACCATCATGCAAAAGAATTAAAATCTCTATGCAACTGAATTGAATAACTGTATCTTCTCTTCTTCATATCTTACCTAAAGATTTTATATACAGTTCTTTGGTACATAACTTCCTGATCAGTAAACCTACATATTCCATTGATTAACAGCTATTAATAGTTCATGCTTGAAACAATACATGGTCTAAAATTTCATAATCTTCTATCTGTGTATCGTGATAGTGATCTGAGGTGAATTTTATCGGTATTTGAACAGCTTGATGGCCAAACATTGAGGTCATGTCCTGCTGATATCATAGTATTCAAGAACTTGACAGTAAATCAGAAACACTATTTTGTTCTCAACATCAGAACTTGGGATGGAAAGAGTAACTCATCGGCTTATTCGTGGTTCATTGGTAAGCCTTATCTCTTCACATACATAAAGGGTTGTTTGGTGTATTTTATAGAGCTGCTTATAAATTATTTTATTTTTTTTGAAGTTTGTGTCAGAATGCTTGGTTTGTTTACAGCTCGTGAGATAAAAATAAGTTGCAAAGCTAACTATTAAAAGTGAGGAGAGGTGCCTTTAGTTTTTTATTATTAGTTTTCAGATTGCTGGAAGCTGCACCAAACAAGCCCATATACTTCTTTTGAAGTTTAAATATATTTCAGATGGCTAGGCCTTTGTGCCCAGAAAGGACCCTTGTTAGCCTAATCCAGTCACAACTCACAAGGTCCTTATGTCATCTGACAGTTGGGAATGAGGTCTATTCTTCCAAAACCTCTAACAGAACTGTTCAAATGCATCTAAACCGTTGTTTTGTTTCATATCTAATAGATACAATACCACCAACTGCAACAATTTTTAGCAAGCAGAGTTACACAAATGCTGAAAAAGTAGAAATTGATATCACGTTCAGTGAAGCTTGCAGTGGATTCAAGTGTATTAACTCATCAAATTGTGATGTAAGTAGGTATTTCACTCAAATTATTACACGCTCTAGACTTGTTATATAATATAAGTTGATACAATTTCATGCCTTGATCTTAAATGTAATTCTATATTGTAGGTAATCGTAAATGGTCCTGCCCATCTAGATGCCTCTTCATTACACATCATAAAACCTGACATCAAATATGGCCTTAGTATTATTTTCTCCCAGAGAAGTATTTATGCTCGTGTCATTATTAAAATGGCAGATAATTTTTGTACTGACCAGGCAGGGAACCAGTTCACGAGAACAAATAGTTCAATTTTCATTGTTCACTTGGGTAAGGACAAATCGGACTCACCATTTTCCTTAAATGTGCTACCTAGCCAAGGTTTGTGTTTTTAATTTTTACTCCTGCACTAAAGCTTCAATGGTGGTCCTAGATAGAAGACCAGTGCAAGTGGATTTATGGATGTCTGTTCCGTCTTATGAGTTGGTGATTAATGGGGTTCCAAGAACTATAATTGCAACTAACAAAATGGAGGACTTGAAAGTTTTCTTGGATTTCAGCAGTCCTATTATAAATTCAACCAAACAGATTCTAAGTGCATTACATGTGAATTCGGGCAACTTTGTACCTAGTCATAGTGGAAATCATGGAAATCGAGGATTTGTTTTTGAAGTAAGCCTCAAGCTTCAATTTTGTTGTAATATCAGCATTATGTAAAAAGGACCTCAATTATTTTCCCATATTTGTTTTTGTAGCTTAAGAATATTTCAAGTACTGAAATAGTCATAGTTGAACTAGAAGCTGCTTCAGTGATTGGAAGAACAGGCACTCCTGTTTCCCCTGTTGCCCCAATTACATTCCTCTACGGTATGTAATTTCACACTTTGGTGCTCTTTGAAAGTTGTTCCTGAAAATCATTCTAGTGGCCTTATTTGAAATCTACCTAATGGGTTTTTCTCTTAGATTCCTCTGAGCCTGGGGTAGGCTTAAGTACAAGCTCGTCGAGAGTTACAAAAGAGTCCAATGTCAACATAATAATTGAGTTTACAAAGCCAGTTTTCGGCTTTGAGGCTTCAAAGGTAGCAGTGGAAGGGGGGAGTCTCAAAAGGCAGGTGCATATTGTGTAACAGTACTAAAATTGGAATAATATTGCTACACAAGGCACAAATGAGAACAATAAACTTTGATTCGAAGGCATTTGAAATATCAGCAGAGAATAAAATTTTACTTACTACTTGTTTAGTTAATGCCATGTTAGTTGAACAAGAATAGTTGCTGAGTTGAGATTTTGTTTCACGTAGATTTGAAGAACATTCAAGAGCTCTGTACTCAATGACAGTCCAGGCAGTATCTCAGGATGTATCAGTTATTGTTCCAGCAGGACAAGTAAACGACATATCAGGAAACCTGAACTTGGCTTCTAATGTGCTCAATGTCAAGCATTGTATAGATAATTTCTTTTCCTCCTTTCCCACCCCAACAGTTATTACCAATGAAGCATGGGTGCAGGTACGGATATGGGTACGATGTGGGTATGTCGATATGTCAAATTCTTAAAAAAATAGGGTACGGGTACAACTGGTGTATGTTAATATTTTTTTAAAAAATTTATGGCTAGACATCCAACATACAAATCAAAATTTCATTACCAAAACTAAAAAGAGAATAATTTGTCTAAATAATTATATAATTCTTGCTTTTTCTTTTTCGATTGTCTAAAATAGGATGCAAAAGATAGCAAAACCATGACTCATGGATAAAGGGTGTTGAAAATAAATTACTTGATGATTTTTGAAGTTGAAAGAATAATAATAAAGGCTACAACAAATTCTAACAGCTGCAAAAAAAAAAAAAAATCACCTTTCTGTACTCGTGCTATACCTATGCCGTACCCCGGATGTACCCAAACGAAATTGCTGTACCCGACATGTATTCGGTGTACCCAGTACGTGTACCACCGTACCGGTACGTATACCCGCACCTGGTAAGTATCCGGTACTCATACGACACCATTTTGGAGTACCCGTGCTTCATAGGTTATTACAATTATTGTTATTTCATAAGTTAATTGTTTCAGTGTAATCAATGTAATCAATTTCTATGTTTGCAAATGCAAAGAAAAGATATATTGCTTTTCCTTGAACAACAAAATGTTTAGTTTGTGTAGCTTGTTCCCTATTTTTGACTCTCAATTTTACACAGACTCGGCCCCTTCTATATCAATCGCACTCCACTCGTTCATGACTGCGGGTATATTAGCAACATCACTAGCAGCTGCCATTCTTTCACTTTCTTCTGCAAATCTAGGAGCTGTAGGCACTCTAGCTAGTGGGGACACTGTTGTTTCTGACCCATTAATGAATCTGCACGTAAGTATCTACATTTTCCTTATGGCACTTGGTATATAGTTAATTCTATTTCCTGCATGACTTTTAACTTTTAGTTGGAGTATTTATTTTCCAAGTAAGTTTTTTCATGACAGGGAATGGTGGGACACCTGCAAGTGTTTGTCCTCGCAGACTGGCTCTCAGATTCCCTACCGGTAGAATATTCCGAGACAACAAAAGGTCTTAGGTGGCTTCTACCTCGTGAAAAGCTTCCATGGAAGAAGGAAAGCTCTTCTATGTGGCCCAACCATTTATATCTGACTGAAACCAAGCTTGTAATGAAAGAAAATCATTTACCCATTGGATTCCTATCCCATAAAAGAGCTTACCATGCATATGAACTGAATTTAACCTTCTCTTCTTATTACTTGCAAGAAGGACTACCCTTTCCTACAGAAATTTACCCCAAAAGTGGTGAGCTCCCGCAACAGCACAACATAACCATGAAAAACATTCCATATGGGCTGCCCTTAGATTCCAAAGAATATTTCATTTATTTTCTGGTGAGTATTTGCTTGATACTAAAATTTTCAATAAATTATAGACGTTTTACTAGTATTGAATCACTGTACTTGCAGCGAGGAGAGCCATTATCTGCTAGCAGTGTCATTAAGAGAATGGAGAAATACACAGGGTAGATATCCTTTCTCATTTCTTGTTTAAAATTTACTGATCAATTGAAATACTCCAACGATCTCACAATTCCATATCCATGGTCAACTATGACCAACAAGAAAGAGACGTTGTTATCTTTCAGCTAGGTCATTCAGTAACTCATAATTCATAGCAATGATAAGAATGATGCTAAATTTGTTATCTCAATAGATGGCAGGACTTGGAGATGAATTTGTTCTGGCTTGGTGTGGGAGGAGTTGGTTTACTAGTAACCCACACACTGATATTTCTTTTCCTACGATGGAGGATTCGTCCATCAGCTTACGGGATATTTTCAGTACCGAGGTTTGAACTCTTTCTTCTGATTCTCATGCTACCTTGTATCTCTCAATCTGCGGCTTTTGTCATCAGAGGCAAGTAATCCCGTTTATCCTACTTAAGAAATTGATTGTCTCATAAGAAATTCAGAACTCTCAAGAGTAAGATTATATGCAGGTGGTACAACAGGGGGAATCCTTACTGGGACTTTGTTGCTAGCCATCCCTGCGGGTTTCATTTTATCAGTATGCCTCTTTCTTATAATCACTATCTTTTCTGGGAGCTTTGCTCAGTATACAGAAGTCAAGCACATGCACAACAAGGAACCATGGTATACAAAACTGTGGCTTTTCTTCACCGGTAGGCCTACCATTGGAAAATGGCTTTACAGAGAAGGTCTGCCTTCATCTTTCCTCCCACGATTTGGGATTCTTTTCGAGAATCGGAGGGGTCCTCCGTTGTTAGTCTTAGTAGATCAAAATGACTCAAATAGCAAACCCAAATGGGCAGAAAGTGGCTTAAGTGGGAGCTGGTGTAAGGAGGGCTGTCAGTTCAGACGACAGTAACGAAGAAACCAAAGTTCCCATGTCCAAGAGGCTCTTGGGATGCACTAGATCCTCATATATCATTCTTGATCTTTTAAGAAGAGTCAGTTTCGGGATAATAGCTGGAGCTTACCCATCAGGAGGTTTGAACCAAAGCCTTTTCACACTAACGATCACTTTGGTACAGTTCCTGTGTCTGTTTACTCTTAAACCATATATCAGCAGGGGTGTCCATGCAGTGGAGAGTGTGTCATTATTGTGTGAGGCAGGCCACTTAGTGCTATCTATAAGTCTAAATGGCTCAAATTTGGTTGGGGAACATGAAGTTGGATATGCAATGCTGGGTTTCCTCTTTCTTACCTATGTTTCTCAGATCATAAATGAATGGTATGCCATCATAAAATGCCTTCTTAGACTCTCACAGCCGCGACAGAATTCTTTCAAGCTAGGCTTGAAAAATGCAGCCAAGGGTCTTCTCCTCCCTTTTCTTCCAAGGAGGCATTGGTCAAGAGTTATTGCTGGATCGTCCCAACCAAAAACAGGCCTGGCTCCAGTCCCTCCTTTCAATCCAGAGACAGAATTTGGAAGACGGAATACAACATCACATCGTGAACCACTAAGTGCAATGACTGCAACAGTGGTCCCTATGAGCAGTCCCGGTTTATCACCCAACTTAGACACCATTCAGACGACAGGCTTCACAACTGCAGAGGCAACACTTAGTAGGCATAAACCAGGAGAAGGAAAGCAACTCAAGGGACTTAAACTAGAGCCAAAGAGTGAGATGAAGAAGTTGAGGCAGTTGGCAAGAGCAAGTTTCACGGGGGGTTCAAATTATGAGGAAGGCAGCACCAGCTATGGTCCTTAGAGTGTCAAACGGCCCGATGTCTATGCTTGTAGGTATCTAACATTATTTAGTTTCTCCTGGGCATATTTTTTGTGTAGTAATATCTCACTCGTGCCCACAAAAACAAAACATCGGACAAGTTGTTTAGATCAACTTGGATTTCTCATTTGAATAGACAATCAAGTTAGAGATTCAGTTTTCTCAAGAAGACGAAAGAAATCAATGGGCAACATATTGAAGACAACATTTTTAACAACAAAAATTTTACGTTTTTGAATGTTAAATGAAAAAGACAACAGATACTAAAAATTGGAGGGAGGGACAGTAGCAAAATGGAGAATTGACATTTACAATGACCAAAGCTTCAGAAAAGATGAAAATTGAATTCAAGATTGAATGAATATAAATGCAGACAGAATTGGGAAAAATAAATATGCAGAGCAGAGCAGAGCAGACCTTACACAAGTTGAGAGTTGAGACTGAAATTTATGGACGGTGATCTTCAGGTGAATTCCGATCAACATCTCTCCATCTAAATTCAAACAAAAAACAAAGAATCCGCCACCAATCAAACCTAGCCAGTTGCATATAAAAAAGAGACTGTGTGTGTGGCCTATCTGGAAGTTCAAGCATTGCTAATCAACCTCACGATTTTCTTATGATCGGAGGAGCAATGTGTCCAGTCCAGTGATTGAATCGAGTTCGTTCGAGAGAAGGTAATCGAGCTCTGAATTTGAAATTTATTACTAAAAAGGGAATCAAACAAATGATAGTGGAAGGTGGAAGAGAATAACATTTCGTTCGTTGGTGCATCGGGACCAAGCCCATACAGCCCAATTGCTTGCCCAAAAACATAATCTGCCAGGCTTGGGCATCAATTTCGCAGACCCACCCGAGTTGGGCCATCCTGATGCCGAACCTTAGTAGTGGCTTAGGCTTACAATGAAGATAGTAAAAATGGGTCAAATCCTTATTGAAATTATTATGGGCATATTAGTCTTCAAATTTTTTTTTTTTGTTAATCATTAAAAAAAAAACAGTGAATTTATTGTAAGAATAGATGTGAGTTGAGAATTGTGAATTAATGAGTTGGATTGTGAGAATAAAATTAGAAATATGGGCCTATTAATTTGAATCAAGATTTATTGAGTATTAAGTTCAGCTCATAATTGTCCCTAAATTATTTTAATCACCTCGCTTGAATTTAAAATTTAAAAATAATGCATTAGTTTCACAAGTTTAACATATTTACATTGTATTCTCTATGATGTTCTTAATTCATGACATTTAATACAATTTTCATTCTATCATATAATAATAATAAAAAAAAAAAATCACAAATCAATATAAAAGATTAAAAAAAATAAATAATTACAACCGGGTGAATTTAATTTTTTTATGCAAAAAAAACATAACAAAAATTGTATCCCCACCTTTGGTAAATAATTTATTTATAATTAGTTAATCATGTATTTATACATCAAAATTTTATTTATTTTAACATTAGTGAAAGAGAGGTTGATAAATGCATTTTTTAAAATAAGTACTCAAATAAATAGTATATATCCAAATTTAAAATAAATAAAACACATAATAATTTATTATTGGAGAATTTAAGTTTCGTTCGTTAGTTATATATTTTAACTAAAAACTTAAAAAGTATAAATTATTACATTATTTTTTCTATTTTTTTATATAATTTTTTTGTAAAAAATTAAAAAAATTATTAAAATAATATATTTTGAAACAAGACTATAGTAGTAGTAATGACTGACTTGTCAACAACTAATAATTGAGTAATGAAAAAAAAAAAAAAAAAAAATAATAATAATTATCAAAATTTTAACTAAATATTACAATACGCCATATGAGTTCTATTTGATAGAATTTTTAGTAAAAATTTGTGAGGTGTTTAGCATTTTTGGTCAGATATATAGGTTTGAGGATTGAGGGCAACCAAGCTTCTCACAACGATAATAATGTCTGGCTCTGATGGCGAGTGCCAGAGCTCTGGAATGCTCTCTAAAAATCAATTGCTTCATCTCTTCGATCGCTTCGCTTTTCTCACCTCCCAACCTGGTAAAACTATTTTTCTTCTCATTTTCTCTTCTCTTTCGATTATCTGCTCTCTCCAGCTTTCTCGCTATAATCTGCATTTCCTATTTTCTTTTTGGCATAACATTCAGAGGTGAAGAAACGAATTGCAGACGCTGTGGATGACAAACAGGTAAATTTCCCTCTTCACTTGAACTGTTTTCTCCGAATTAATTTATTATTAACCTATCCCTGATTTTTTTTCTTTCTTTCAAATTTTGATTTTGTAAGTTGAAACACTTTGGTCTGAGAATTTTTGGTTTGTTTGATATTGTGTGTTAACAATAGATAAAACTCGCATGATTAGTGACATCAATTTAAGTGTTAGCATATGTTGGTTAGGTCGAACTAATCTTTGGGGGATAGGAGTTGAATTGTTACAGTCATTTGTGAGGCTTTGGTGGTGAGGATAAATGGGCTTTCACTGGGATTTTCTGCTGTATCTCTTATGAATAAATCATCGAATGCATTTTCCCAACTACCCCTTGAGGCCACCCTAGGGCTTAGTGTTGATATATAGGATGGGGTCAGGGAGAAGCCTCGTGAGTAAAAGGAATTATCGATTGAATTTAGACGCTACGAGTCTTCTCATTTTTGGTACTATCTACTATCTGTGTCTACATGGGAGGATGATAATTACTATCACTCTAGCAGTATACGGTTGCAAAGTTTTCATGGATGTGGAAGTTGTACAGGGAAGAATAGATGCTCTATTTCATAGTGTTACATGGTCTCAGGTAAAACTCAACCCCAAAAGCTAGCTTTTGAAGGTGAGGATACCCTCACACTTATATGCTTAACATTACTTTACTAAGGAGGTGATGTGGGACTTCACTTCACACCCTCTCTCATGCTCAGTGTGCTCACTTGGCAGCACTTGCAGCGTGTAGGCCAGGGGCATGCATCTTATCCATCTGTAAGTACTCCAGTTTTACCATGTTACACAGTCTTGGGTAAAACTCAACCCCAAAAGCTAGCTTTTGAGGGTGAGGATGCCCTTATGCTTGAATGTTTAACATTACTCTAGTAATTAGGCGATGTGGGACTTTGCTTCACACATAGATCCACCCATGTGGTAGTGCTTGGTTAGTGGAAACTAAACATAGTAGAAATCTAATGTGAAGACTCTGATGTAGGATTTCTCAGACAAAGCTGTATGATATATCTATCTCCATTAGTGTATTTGACCAGCCCCACTGTTTTCATGTTTAAAATGGCCCTAGGAATGCAACTGTAATCCAACTTGTTTGATCATGAAACAACATAAGTTCGTTTATTTATTGGTTTGGGCACAAACTAGCACACTGAGTCTGTGAAGGACTCTGTTGGCTATTTGAGGCCACGTAGTATGTACTTATATATTTACATTCCCACATTAACTTTTGCCATTTGGTTTTGTTACATTGTGATAGTTTTTGAATCTGAAGCAAAGAATATGCAATATGCATTTGAGCTAATGTTCTTCAGGGATCTATTCTCCAAACTGTATTCTGTCTTATCGATGCAATCTGCCAATAATTGTCTAGGAAAACTTGCACCTCAACATTTTTTTGGGGAACAGTTTGTATTCAAAACACTCCAGAAGGGGTGCAACCTCTGAGCACTAGTTGACATACTGACATTATGATGTGGCTTTTGATTTTGAGACGAAAAAAAAAAAAATCAGATTCGTTCATATGGATTTGCTTTGGTTGATTAATTCAACTACACAATCTAAATTGCAAGCATGAAAAATAAATCGAGCACACTACAAAGCAGCTCATGATTTTTTACGTGGAAAACTTAATTGGAAAAAATCTCGGGACTGTAGTCTACCTGACCATTCCACTATAAAGAACAAATACAAGTTCCAACTTACAACCCAACCCTAGACAAATCCACAAACTTGCGTGTGTGCTCCTTGTACTGACCGAATCTCACGTAGTTAGAGTATCGAGTCCACAATACCTCTAGAATCTACCATGAACTACACTCAATGCCTTATAATCCACCAAAACAACCACCAAAATATAGAACAGTGATGTAAAAGACTTAGACATTAATTGATCTCCAGCACAATAGCATATAGCCTTTTCTTATGTTCTCCAAGCATCGTTTTTGCTTAACTGGTTTGGATAAATTTGACCAACATGTGCTGTGGAACATTTTCCTTTTAAGATATGGACTTGAAAGTTAGTTAGACAATTTGAAACATGTAATACTCCTTGAAGTTTCTCTGTCAAAGCTGTTATCCTTGCAATATTTGTATTATCTTTTTGTTGCCCCCATCTGAACATTTAAATCTAATACTGTGTAGGAAGCAGTCGCTGTAACCACGGCAATCCAAGAGGAGATATTTTTGGAGATGGGAGTTGGTAAGTCTGTCTTACTTGACATAGTAGGAGAACAAATAAAATCCTTTATCCAGGTTTTGATTTTTAGGCAACTCTCCCCAAAAGCTTGTGTAGCACAACCTGACGTGTGTGCCTCAGGTGTGCCTTTTTACCTTTTGTGCACAAACATATGAAGAATTTGTGTTGGGGGGTTGTTAAATTTGTCTAACATATGGTTTAAACAAATAAAGAAGCACCTCTTTTGTAACTATATTCCATGAAAAAAAAAAAACAAGTAAATGACCAACCAAGAAAAAAACACAACAGTGAAATGTTTGACACCTCAAGGAGAAAAGTACCTTACACATTTATATTTACTTTTTGATATATTTTAGGGTTTAAAAATATTTATTTGTTTATTAAATATACAGTCAAAATTTGAAATGCTTACGCTTCGATACCTTGAGGCTTACTCCTTGCCTCACAAGGGGTAAAATGTTAGTGCATGTACTCCTTACTCCTTGTCAATGTTAGTGCATGTACTGTAATTTGCATGCAACTGGAGGCAGACTACACCTCTGATCCAAATGCTTTACTGGCAGAACACGGTTTTGGGATATGATTCTTATCCCTTCCATATCAATTTGTTAAAAATATAAATATTCCAAACTCCCTACAATTCTTCAGTGCCGCAAAAGTTTGATGCCAATGAAAAAATACATCCTAGGACGTCATACATGATGCTTCCTTTTGCAGTTGAAAAGTGGTTGAATTTAATTTGCTTGGACTGTTTTTTCTTCCTAGTTTTGATGGATCTTTATGAATGTGGTGTTACTGTGTCTCACTTGAAGCATCCTGCTCAGTCTGTGACCGCATTAGCATACTTTCCACAATTCGGGTTGTGACATTGATATCTCCTTCCCCTTCTCCCCCCACTGTAATGTTGATAACAATAGGTCTGACAGAATGAATTCAATCTGAAGTGAGTTGAAGGAAGTAGATAGCAATAAGCATTTTAGTGATTAACACGTGAATAAAGAAATAAATGATTTTTGAAGTTTGTGCATGTTTGATGGTAAGATTATGTTGTTGTGATCGATGGGAAAAGGAACGGTAGTTTGGCTTTGCTGACTTATAATACGTTGACTTTATAATATGGTCGAAGTGTGGTATTTATTAACTCAAAGCTTTGTTGATATCTGTTTCTCTGTGCTTACTCCTCAAATATATTTATATATATACTGTGTCTGGATTTGTAAGCCCTTCGTGTGAGTTACCGCTGCAACTGTAAAGCTTTGTTATAGACGATTGATCAAGACAAGCACTTGTCCTTTTTATTGACAATTTTGATTATCTTTTTTACTGCTGTAAAAAAGCACACATTGTATGGCATTGGAAGAATAATTGTCTTCTATTATTATCATTTCTAAGGTTTGGTTAGGAAAGTAAATACTGGAAATTTATCTCCCTCTATTGCAGATCCAAGGTTTGGTCTAGCTTGCTTGGGAAGAGTAAATATGGCTTATGAGAATGATCAAGATTTGATGATTCGTTTCTATGGATTTGTGGTGAAGTAAGCTCTCTCTCTCTCTCTCTATATATATATATATGTGTGTGTGTGTGTGTGTGTGTGTGTGTGTGTGTGTTTGTCTCCAAGTGTGCGCGCATGGCTGCTATTCATTTTTCTTGCACTCTCATGAGCCAGGTCTATAGACCAAATCCCTAGCTTGGGACCTAATAATTTGTGTGTTTGTCTCCTACTCACATTTGAAGCATCCGTGTTCAATTCTTGTAAATTATATACTTTTGGAGTATGAAATATATATGGACTGTCTTCTTGTTTGTATGCTGAAGGAGTTCAATGAGCTGCCCCTCTTGCCCCACCAAAACACCATTTCTTCTTAAAAGGAAACGAAAAGATTGGTGCCTTAGTTTCCGACGTACATTAAAGGCCTGTATAACATCCATATTCCACTTTTTTATTTTTATTTTTAATTTTGAAGAAAGATATGTTTATTCGACGAACATGCTGAGATTTTTCCCCTCTGACAATGATATGCATGCTTGGCATGATTAATTGATTTTGTTATTGCTCTGGCACTTTAGTTTTCGCCACTCTGATATTAATCAAGAAGATCCAGTAGCCCATCTCTAATGAATCAATGATACATATTCACTCAATCAGATGTACAAAACTGAAAATATGAAGACAAAAAAAACAGAATTTCAACGCTTTGCTTCCCCCCCCCCTGATTGGCAATCATTTTTCACATTTTCTTGCATTCTCTGGTTGTCCTGGCATTTGGTTTTTTCCTATCACATATTTTCTGAATTTTTTTTTTGTTTTTTTTTTCTTCAAAATTTAAATGGTATAAAAGGCTGTGATCATCTGTCATTGTACAAAAGTTGCTAATGTTGTTAATAGTACGGAAATGACAGAGAAGAGTTGGCTTGTGAGGAAGCTGAGCTTGGGCCAGACAATTTTGCTGGAAAAATGGAAATGCAACTTAAATTACAAGAACAGGTAGAAGTTAATTCAGTTTTGCAGAGGAATTCAGGTGCAAATGGATAGATTATAACATCAGTGTTGATTCTTTTTGCAGCAGCTGGAGATGCTAAAGCACATGCGCAAATTTCACCTGGATGACCAGTCTACAATCCTTGAGAATGTATGTGTCTCTTTTTATGCCTTTTTAATACCCATATGATTGGGCCTCATGTGATGGAGATTGAATTTTCGTTGTTTTTAACTTTTATGCCTTGTAGTTTGATTAAAAACAGCACATATTGCATGGTTGTAGACAGTGTTATTAAAGGCGCACCTAGCCCAAGTCCTATCCAGGCCCAAAGTTTGTGCCTTGTTGTGTTTCAGGTTAGGCAACTTCGATAAGGCGCACCTAGGCCCAAGTCTCGTCCAGGCCCAAGGTTCGTGCCTTGTAGTGTTCTAGGCCAAACGACTGTGATAAAGCGCTTGATTGGCTCAAGGCTTGCATCTTGAGGGCTTTTTTTATTGTTGTTTTAATTGGTTTCGTTTAAAATATGACCATTGATTTAATATGGTGCAGTTACAGAAGATCCCTACTCTCATATCATTACAGATGCTAATACATTGGGCATTCAATCCCAAATCAATGATAGAATAAAAATTAGCCTTAATTCTTAATCTCCAAAAAACACTAAAAATGTTTAACATTTCATTTTGTTTGTGTTGAACTCTAAATTATATATTTTTTTCCGTACAAAGTCCGCCTCACTTCGGTGAAGCCTGCGCCTAGGCCCCAGCAGGGCGCCTATCGCCTTTAATAACACTGGTTGTAGAGGAGATATCCTTTGAAGCGCTCTCTCTCTCTCTCTCTCTCTCTCTCTCCACACACAAAATGCCTATAGACTTTCATAGCTTGGTGTTGTGTTTTTTACAGTTGCACCAGCAGATGGAGGCGGCCAACTTCGATGATGAGTCCTCAGTTTTCTCAGTGGAGCAGATCCAGGACATAGTTAGAAGGAGGGTGACACCTGTATTTAGGCTGAGGTAATTAGGTTTCTTTTTGTTTGGTAGCTCTATTTTACGTTTCCCAGACGCGGCAATTGTTTATTGTTGTAAGTACTTTTGAGCAGAATGAAATTTGATTTACAACAATGATTTATTCCACTAATTTGGGAGCACTAAGTGGCCACTAATGAGGTGGAAATTCAAAAGAAAAAAAGAAAAAAAGAAAAAAAACACGAGCAAAACATCTCATCATGTGGGACCCACACCACTTTAGAGCTATTAGTGCTCCTCTTTTTAGTGGTCTCACTCATTTTTGTTTGATTTATACTCTTTTGGCTCATGATCTTGTCATAATTGCTCTATTTTGAAACCAAAATTTTGGCAGAAAGAGTATAATATTGAGACAATATGTTTGTCAATGGTCACATTTTTTTATCCAGACTTGACAGAAATGAATTGGATTCACATCATTTGCTTGTCAGCTTGAAATCATTCTATATTTTTTCCTTTTATTAGGTGTACTGTGGTGCTGTGAACCATTTTGTACAATAAAATACGCGAAGTTTCAACTAAATGGTAACTGCAATTAGGCCTTATTGCTCACATATTGAGAATAAGTTATTTTAATAACTTTTTAAAATTTTTAATTAAAATATGAATTAAAAAAAATTAATATGTTTATAATAATTTTTTAATTTTAATATGAAAAAAATAGAGAGAAAATTTATTTTTAATTTATTTTTATGAAAAAATACATGAAAAAAAAAAATATCACCAAAGAAAATTTTTTTCGTAAAAAGTTGACTCTGCATGCTAGATCTGCAGTACGTTTAATTTTTTTTTCCCCCCGGGTTTGAGACACGGATTGATGGAAACAGACTCTGATCGATTTATAGTCCGCAAGAACAATGGGTCATCTATGAGGTTGAATGACTGAAAATACTTCACAAAGTCTGTATAACAGCTCGTTTTGCCCCAGAACCTTGTTGCGAAGTCTGTCACTAGCGTGACCACCCCACAAGCCCTCACACAAAGTCCGCCATCTTAGGTCACAAGGCATTGTTATGGCACAAGCAATGCAAATAGATTTCGATTTTTTATCTTCCTAGAAACTTTCTCAACACAAGCCAAACATGCTTAAAATGCACGAAAATTATGCTGAATCCCAACCTGTTTTGATGCACCAGCCTAACAAAACTCATCATCCATGACATGATATTCTGTTTAAAAACAACACAAAATATAAAAGGGAGTACATTTTATAAGAAAATTTCTGTTCACCACTATGGAGCTAGTAAAAAGAACAAAGACTCAAGAAATTTAAATGATTGTATTGAAAAAAGATCCTACATTGCTTGGAATATTCTCCTCTCTTCATGTGTTTTTGCATCCTATCAAGAACTTCCAGTTTCATGCAAGCTTACATTTCCACCTGACCTGCAAATTCTAAAAATATCAAATAAGCACATATAAATGAATTGGCCTAGAAAAAATAACACACAAAAAAAATACGAATCAATTTCACGAACACCAAAAGCAATACTTATACATTTAAAAAAAAATAAATAATAGTAGAGGTGTCAAAACATACATTACCAAGTTGGACCAAAGCACCCTAAATAGATCCAATCATGCAACTTTGCTCACATACAAATGCAACTGAGACATTATTTTAAATAGGTTCACAGTCACAGCTTTGCACCATATCTAATTTATTTGCTTGTTGGGTGTGCTTGTCTAGAAGATGAATGTATGCATTCTTGCAAATTTTGGAATGAAGCCATTAATTCAAAAGGATGCATCAGTTTGACAGAGTGTTATTAGAGGCGAGCCTAAGCACTAAGCGAGGCGAGGCGAGGCTTTAGCTCTTCACGCACATTGAGGCGAGGCGAAATGGTGAGGCGATGGAGAAGCGCCTGAAGCGAGGCTTAGGCGATGAAGCGGGAGGCGAAACGAAGCGACGCTTCATCAGATTTTTGCCTGATTTCAGTTCGAATCATTTGGGCCCTTCATCGACAAACTTAATTACTAAATAAGAAGTCCAAACCCTAGATCGACTTCGTTCGTCGACATCTGGGTCTTCTGGGTCGTCTTCTTCCGAAGTCGAATCATTTGGGTCTTCTTCTTCCTTCTTCGGACGTCGTTCCGAGGTGAGTTCCTTCTTCTTCCTTTCTTCTTCTTCTTCTTCTTCTTCTTCTTCCTTTCTCCTTTGTTCATTGTCGGAACCCCCCCTTTCTTCCCCCTTGTTCTTCCCTTCGACTTCACCTGTTCTTCTTTGTTCATTTTTTTCTTCGACTTGAAGAACATTGTCGAACCCTGTGTTAAAATTAATTCAATTAATTTCCTGGTTATTCAATTAATTATTTTAATTCAATTAATTTGTTTAATTCAATTAATTCAATTAATTTGTTTATTTTAATTCAATTAATTTCCTGATTATTTTAATTTACTACTTATTCAATTAATTATTTTAATTCAATTAATTTAATTAATTTGTTTAATTCAATTAATTTGTTTATTTTAATTCAATTAATTTAATTCAATAAATTTCCTGGTTATTCAATTAATTATTTTAATTCAATTAATTTGTTTCATTCAATTAATTTGTTTATTTTAATTGATATTTAGTATTTGGATATTTAGTACTTGGAATGATAACTGCATGATCGTTCTTACAAATATTTATATTTTTGTCTATGCCATTTATTTTAAAAAAGTATCCTTTCTGGTCGCCTCGATTCGATGAAGCCCGCGCCTCGCCTCGTCGCCTCGCACTTAGGCGTTAGGAGACCTTGTCAACTCGGTTCGCTTTTCGCCTTAAAAAACACTGGTTTGACACACAAATATTAACATCAGAAAGGAAAGAAAAGAGGCTGGGAGAGGTGACTTCTTTTTATTTGTTCCTACTTCCAAGGGTTGAGTGATAGAGATACATAGAGAGGTTTCACAATATACTTGTATTCGGATTTGTGCAGAACAATTAACATCATTCATGCACCTGATCCTAAACAGTTTGTCGAATTAAAATCGAAGATTTGAAGTGATTACGTGGTGTCTTGAGTTTGGACTCATTTTACCTGGTTTGTAGAAGAAAGGTAAGATTTTAACATGGCACCCATGTAAGCTGTCAGACTTAGCACATAAATTCCCAAGTATTGTGTTGTGGATTAAGATAACTTGCAAAATGCGTGTTCACAATTGAGAAATAGTAAAAGTTCCCTAATTGGAGTAATTGGGACTGTACGCTGACTGGTTTCACACTCTGTATCTCTAAATCTCATCAACAGCAAACCATTTCATCTGAGAGGAGTTAGAATACTAGTACAATCCGAACTTCTACACTTCCATTCAATTCCGGCATAGACATAAGCAATAGCAAATTCCAACTCTTGTTTGCTCCAGCTCAAATCTTGAACAGTGTCATTTGTCAAAACTGCAACTACTTTACGTCTATTTTTGATCTATTCATCAACAGAATAACATATCATTATATATAAAGCCACTAGGATCTCAATAAGAACATGTATAAATCCAATTCAATGGTCAACTTTGCAATTACATTCCTAATTTCAGAAATCTCCAAAAGACTAATTACCGTCCAAAATGAAACTGAACAAGGAATTCATCATAAAATAACATAATTTTTGACAAACTTGTATTAATACTGCGTCTGGTTGGGAGATTTGGAGAGGAATTTGGAAAGAGAAAGAGAAAAAATAGGTAAAACACCAGTTGAAATATAAGTATATTTTATTCACATTTTTGTCTACCTTTTCCTTTTCAATTTCCATTTTCCTTTCCATATCTATCATCAAATCCCCTAACTAAACACAACATAAGTAAAAAGTACAGTAACTAGCTGTTTGATTCTGCGGAATCCATGCTTTGGAATTGGACTTGGAACCCCGAATTCCAAATCCAAGGCATGGATTTCGTGGTCTCAAACGCAACATGTATACACTGACGACGAAGAAGAAGAATAATAAATAAATAAATAAAATGAATGAAACATAGAATTGAAGGAATATGTTACCTCCTCAACCAGATCCGACGATGATGTTGTTAATAGGGATGAAGATCAGCTTCACGAAGAAGCCTACGAATCCCATCACCACGAATCCGATCGCTGTACGAACCGCGACCTTGGTGAATTCTGAACAATTACGAGATGAGATCATTCAATCAACTTAAAGTAACGAATAGAATTGTATTGGAAGCGAAGAGTAAAAGAGAAGACTAGATGAGAATTGTACTAGTGTTTTTATTTACCTTTGCGATCGGGTTTGTGGCACCTCTTGACGAGGCGAACGCTGTCCTTAGCGAACTCTCTCAATGGATCGAATACGGAGTCCAAGGCATCCATTTCTGTGTGTGTAGAGAGAGATTAGAGAGAGAGCTCGAAGAACAGAGAGAGAGAGAGAGAGAGAGGGAGAGAGGACTTTTTCAGATCTGGCGGAAGCTAGCTAAAACCGAACGCAGATAGATATAACGAACGATTGTGGGGGCCTTTTTGGCAGCTAGTGAAAAGTTTTTAACCCCATTATTTATTTGTTTATTTATTTATTTTAGTTGGTTTGGTTTGAGTTTTTTAGATTAAGGGTATGTTTAGTTTGGATTTGTGGAGTGATTTTGGAAAATTTTTTCTGAAAAACTTATTTGGTTAGTAATTTTTTAAAAATAATTTTCAAAATCACTTCTTTCTCTTACATATCAATCAATCATTTTTTTTTCTTTCATTCTCAATCATTTTTTTTCTCACACACATCTACTCAATTACAACAAAATATCAAATCATTCCAAATTTCCAAACTCCAAAACTACTTTCAAAATACACAACCAAACAAATCAAAAAAATTTCTAAACTCTCTCTATCAAAACAATTTCTAAACTCTCTCTATCAAAACAATTTCTAAACTCTCTCTATCAAAACAATTTCTAAACTCTCTCTATCAAAACAATTTCTAAACTCTCTCTATCAAAACAATTTCTAAACTCTCTCTATCAAAACAATTTCTAAACTCTCTCTATCAAAACAATTTCTAAACTCTCTCTATCAAAACAATTTCTAAACTCTCTCTATCAAAACAATTTCTAAACTCTCTCTATCAAAACAATTTCTAAACTCTCTCTATCAAAACAATTTCTAAACTCTCTCTATCAAAACAATTTCTAAACTCTCTCTATCAAAACAATTTCTAAACTCTCTCTATCAAAACAATTTCTAAACTCTCTCTATCAAAACAATTTCTAAACTCTCTCTATCAAAACAATTTCTAAACTCTCTCTATCAAAACAATTTCTAAACTCTCTCTATCAAAACAATTTCTAAACTCTCTCTATCAAAACAATTTCTAAACTCTCTCTATCAAAACAATTTCTAAACTCTCTCTATCAAAACAATTTCTAAACTCTCTCTATCAAAACAATTTCTAAACTCTCTCTATCAAAACAATTTCTAAACTCTCTCTATCAAAACAATTTCTAAACTCTCTCTATCAAAACAATTTCTAAACTCTCTCTATCAAAACAATTTCTAAACTCTCTCTATCAAAACAATTTCTAAACTCTCTCTATCAAAACAATTTCTAAACTCTCTCTATCAAAACAATTTCTAAACTCTCTCTATCAAAACAATTTCTAAACTCTCTCTATCAAAACAATTTCTAAACTCAAAGTGTCAAAACAATTTTTAAAAACTCATCTCTTAAAACTAAACCAAACATACTCTCAAGTTTTTTGAAACCTGGTAGGTCAACAATGGAAGCGATCTATCTTTTGAGGAGAGTAATAGAAAAGTATAAAGAAAAGAAAAGAGACATTCATATGGTGTTTATCGACCTTGAGAAAGCATATGACAGAGTGCCCCGAGATATAATATGGTGGGCGTTAGAGAAGAAAGGGGTGACAAAAGGCTACATTGACGTGATTAGGGACATGTATGAAGGGGTGGTGACCACTATTAGATCGCCAGCTGGAGAAACAAATGAATTTCCTATCACTGTAGGGTTACACCATGGATCTACCTTAAGTCCTTATATTTTTGCTTTAGTTATGGACGAGTTGATGATAAATATTCAGGATAGCGTGCCATGGTGCATGCTTTTTGCAGACGATATTGTGCTAGTGGATGAGACTAGAGAAGGAGTCAACACAAAGTTAGAGATTTGGAGAAAAGCTCTTGAATCTAAAGGATTCCGGATAAGCAGAACTAAGACAGAATACATGGAGTGTAAATTTAGTAACAGTAACAATGAAAGCAGAGGAGAAGTGAAGATTGAGAACCAAGAACTGCCTAAGAGTGAACATTTTCGTTATTTAGGGTCGATTATCACAACAGCGGGAGAGATTGATGCAGATGTGGCCCATAGGATTAAGGCGGGATGGTGTAAGTGGAGAAGTGCGTCTGGGGTATTGTGCGATAAACGAATACCCACTAGACTAAAAGGTAAGTTTTATAGAACGGCTATTAGACCAGCTATGTTGTATGGGACGGAGTGTTGGGCAACCAAGAAACAAAATGTAGATAAGATGAGTGTGACTGAGATGAGGATGCTAAGGTGGATGTGTGGTAAGACTAGACAGGATAAGATTAGGAATGAGTGTATTCGGGAATGGGTAGGAGTAGCACTGATAGAAGATAAGTTGAGAGAGAATCGTTTGAGATGGTTTGGTCATATTCAACGGAGACCAATAGAGGCAGTAGTGAAGAGATGCTATGCTGTAACGGTAGATGAAAGTGTTAGGGGACGGGGTAGGCCTAGATTAACGTTGACTAGCGTTATAAATAGAGATATGAATCTACTTAATTTGACTAATGAAATGGCCTTTGATAGAGCCGCGTGGAGAAGAAGGATTCATGTAGCCGACCCCATTTGATGGGACTTAAGGCTTGATTTGGTTTGGTTTGGTTTAAAAAATTGACTCTGCATGCTAGATCTGCAGTACGTTTAATTTTTTTTCCCCCCTGGGTTTGAGACACGGATTGATGGAAACAGACTCTGATCGATTTATAGTCCGCAAGAACAATGGGTCATCTATGAGGTTGAATGACTGAAAATACTTCACAAAGTCAGTATAACAGCTCGTTTTGCCCCAGAACCTTGTTACGAAGTCTGTCACTAGCGTGACCACCCCATTTTCAAGTCGATACTTCACCATCCATGGCACCTGTTTGTCGTTAATTGAACAATAACCATTCCCATAATAGACTAACTCGCATTGACAATTTACTGGGAAAATAAACCATGCCTGCAAACTGTCATTACCGTCTAACCTCCGATCATAAACATTTACTCTGACCAACCTCACACAAAGTCCGCCATCTTAGGTCACAAGGCATTGTGATGGCACAAGCAATGCAAATAGATTTCGATTTTTTATCTTCCTAGAAACTTTCTCACACAAGCCAAACATGCTTAAAATGCACTAAAATTATGCTGAATTCCAACCTGTTTTGATGCACCAGCCTAACAAAATTCATCATCCATGACATGATATTCTGTTTAAGAACAACACAAAATATAAAAGGGAGTACATTTTATAAGAAAATTTCTGTTCACCACTATGGAGCTAGTAAAAAGAACAAAGACTCAAGAAATTTAAATGATTGTATTGAAAAAAGATCCTACATTGCTTGGAATATTCTCCTCTCTTCATGTGTTTTTGCATCCTATCAAGAACTTCCAGTTTCATGCAAGCTTACATTTCCACCTGACCTGCAAATTCTAAAAATATCAAATAAGCACATATAAATGAATTGGCCTAGAAAAAATAACACACACAAAAAAAATACGAATCAATTTCACGAACACCAAAAGCAATTACTCATACATTTAAAAAAAAATAAATAATAGTAGAGGTGTCAAAACATACATTACCAAGTTGGACCAAAGCACCCTAAATAGATCCAATCATGCAACTTTGCTCACATACAAATGCAACCGAGACATTATTTTAAATAGGTTCACAGTCACAGCTTTGCACCATATCTAATTTATTTGCTTGTTGGGTGTGCTTGTCTAGAAGATGAATGTATGCATTCTTGCAAATTTTGGAATGAAGCCATTAATTCAAAAGGATGCATCAGTTTGACACAGTGTTATTAGAGGTGAGCCTAAGCACTAAGCGAGGCGAGGCGAGGCGAGGCGAGGCTTTAGCGCTTCACGCACACTGAGGCGAGGCGAAATGGTGAGGCGATGGAGAAGCGCCTGAAGCGAGGCTTAGGCGATGAAGCGGGAGGCGAAACGAAGCGACGCTTTATCAGATTTTTGCCTGATTTCAGTTCGAATCATCTGGGCCCTTCATCGGCAAAGTTTATTACTAAATAAGAAGTCCAAACCCTAGATCGACTTCGTTCGTCGATATCTGGGTCTTCTGGGTCGTCTTCTTCCGAAGTCGAATCATCTGGGTCTTCTTCTTCCTTCTTCGGACGTCGTTTCGAGGTGAGTTCCTTCTTCTTCCTTTCTTATTCTTCTTCCTTTCTCCTTTGTTCACTGGCGGAACCCCCCCTTTCTTCCCCCTTGTTCTTCCCTTCAACTTCATCTGTTCTTCTTTGTTCATTTTTTTCTTCGACTTGAAAAACATTGTCGAACTCTGTGTTAAAATTAATTCAATTATTTTTTAAAATTAATTTTTAATTCGCAAAAATTAATTTTTAAAATTTATTCAATTATTTTAAAATTAATTTTTTTTCAATTAATTCAATTATTTTTTTTCTTCTATGTTAAAATTTTAATTAATTCAATTAATTTTCTGATTATTCAATTAATTATTTTAATTCAATTAATTTGTTTAATTCAATTAATTCAATTAATTTGTTTATTTTAATTCAATTAATTTCTTGGTTATTTTAATTTACTACTTATTCAATTAATTATTTTAATTCAATTAATTTAATTAATTTGTTTAATTCAATTAATTTGTTTATTTTAATTCAATTAATTTAATTCAATTAATTTCCTGATTATTCAATTAATTATTTTAATTCAATTAATTTGTTTAATTCAATTAATTTGTTTATTTTAATTGATATTTAGTACTTGGAATGATAACTGCATGATGGTTCTTAAAAATATTTATATTTTTGTCTATGCCATTTATTTTAAAAAAATATCCTTTCTGGTCGCCTCGATTCGATGAAGCCCGCGCCACGCCTCGCCTCGCCGCCTCGCACTTAGGCGTTAGGAGACCTTGTCACCTCGGTTCGCTTTTCGCCTTAAAAAACACTGGTTTGACACACAAATATTAACATCAGAAAGGAAAGAAAAGAGGCTGGGAGAGGTGACTTCTTTTTATTTGTTCCTACTTCCAAGGGTTGAGTGATAGAGATACATAGAGAGGTTTCACAATATACTTGTATTCGGATTTGTGCAGAACAATTAACATCATTCATGCACCTGATCCTAAACAGTTTGTCGAATTAAAATCGAAGATTTGAAGTGATTACGTGGTGTCTTGAGTTTGGACTCATTTTACCTGGTTTGTAGAAGAAAGGTAAGATTTTAACATGGCACCCATGTAAGCTGTCAGACTTAGCACATAAATTCCCAAGTATTGTGTTGTGGATTAAGATAACTTGCAAAATGCGTGTTCACAATTGAGAAATAGTAAAAGTTCCCTAATTGGAGTAATTGGGACTGTACGCTGACTGGTTTCACACTCTGTATCTCTAAATCTCATCAACAGCAAACCATTTCATCTGAGAGGAGTTAGAATACTAGTACAATCCGAACTTCTACACTTTCATTCAATTCCGGCATAGACATAAGCAATAGCAAATTCCAACTCTTGTTTGCTCCAGCTCAAATCTTGAACAGTGTCATTTGTCAAAACTGCAACTACTTTACGTCTATTTTTGATCTATTCATCAACAGAATAACATATCATTATATATAAAGCCACTAGGATCTCAATAAGAACATGTATAAATCCAATTCAATGGTCAACTTTGCAATTACATTCCTAATTTCAGAAATCTCCAAAAGACTAATTACCGTCCAAAATGAAACTGAACAAGGAATTCATCATAAAATAACATAATTTTTGACAAACTTGTATTAATACTGCGTCTGGTTGGGAGATTTGGAGAGAAATTTGGAAAGAGAAAGAGAAAAAGTAGGTAAAACACCAGTTGAAATATAAGTATATTTTATTCACATTTTTGCCTACCTTTTCCATTTTCATTTCCCTTTCCAAATCTATCATCAAATCTCCAACTAAACACAACATAACATAAGTAAAAAGTACAGTAACTAGGTGTTTGATTCTGCGGAATCCATGCTTTGGAATTGGACTTGGAACCCCGAATTCCAAATCCAAGGCATGGATTTCGTGGTCTCAAACGCAACATGTATACACTGACGACGAAGAAGAAGAATAATAAATAAATAAATAAAATGAATGAAACATAGAATTGAAGGAATATGTTACCTCCTCAACCAGATCCGACGATGATGTTGTTAATAGGGATGAAGATCAGCTTCACGAAGAAGCCTACGAATCCCATCACCACGAATCCGATCGCTGTACGAACCGCGACCTTGGTGAATTCTGAACAATTACGAGATGAGATCATTCAATCAACTTAAAGTAACGAATAGAATTGTATTGGAAGCGAAGAGTAAAAGAGAAGACTAGATGAGAATTGTACTAGTGTTTTTATTTACCTTTGCGATCGGGTTTGTGGCACCTCTTGACGAGGCGAACGCTGTCCTTAGCGAACTCTCTCAATGGATCGAATACGGAGTCCAAGGCATCCATTTCTGTGTGTGTAGAGAGAGATTAGAGAGAGAGCTCGAAGAACAGAGAGAGAGAGAGAGAGAGAGGGAGAGAGGACTTTTTCAGATCTGGCGGAAGCTAGCTAAAACCGAACGCAGATAGATATAACGAACGATTGTGGGGGCCTTTTTGGCAGCTAGTTAAAAGTTTTTAACCCCATTATTTATTTGTTTATTTATTTATTTTAGTAGGTTTGGTTGGAGTGTTTTAGATTAACGGTATGTTTAATTTGGATTTGTGGCTTGATTTTGAAATTTTTTTTTTTGAAAAACTTGTTCGGTTAGTAATTTTTTCAAAATAATTTTCAAAATCACTTTTTTCTCTTACACATCAATCAATCATTTTTTTTCTTTCATTCTCAATCATTTTTTCTCTCACACACATCTACTCAATTACAACAAAATATCAAATCATTCCAAATTTCTAAACTCCAAAACTACTTTCAAAATACACAACCAAACAAATCAAAAAAATTTCTAAACTCTCCCTCCCAAAACAGTTTTTAAAAACTCAGCTCTCAAAACCAAACCAAACATACCCTCAAGTTTTTTGAAAATTGATTTTTTTAGTTTTCGTGTTTTTTTTTTTGTTTTTGTTTTTAGTGAATATTTTTAAAATTTTAAACATTTTTTTTTACTTTTTTAGATGCACCTTACTTAGATGTATCTAAAAAGTAAAAAATTTGTGAAAAAATATTTTAAAAAATTAATAAATACAAAAATACAAAAAATGCACTGAATTCTCATTTTTTTATTTTATTTATATTTTTGATATTTAGTGAATTTTTAAAATATTTTTTTCACAATTTTTTACTTTTTAGGTATATTTATGTTAGGTATGTCTAAAAAGTAAAAAAATTACTTAAAATATTAAAAAAATTTAGTAAAAATAAAAAAATACGAAAAATAAGAAAGTAGAATTTTTTGAAAAGTGTTTTTTTGAAAAACCTAACAAAGCAAAATATTTTTTATTTATAAAAATAAAAAAAATTCAAAATTCAATTTTTAATCAATTTTCCAAATCACCCCGGTAAATGCCCTGCCCTGTAAGTCCGTGAGGCTAATAAGGCCTTGTTTAGCATAAACTAAAAAATCTAAAAAGTCAAAAAATCACTATCCTATTTAAGTCACATCATCTTATATAAGTCACATCACCTCTCTATCACATCACTTCAAACTCAACCCATACTCAATTTATATTTCATAAAAAGTCAAAAAGTATACTTATTTAAATTATCACAAATAACCCCTAAATAACATTTCCTGATTATTTAAGAGAAAATGAATTGATTTACTATAATTAATAAGAGAATTTTTTTTAAGGTCCCTAATAATAGTAATTTAGAGGATAAAGGACATCAAAAAAAAGAATGATGCATCAGGTCCCTGAACAACATGGCGCGCATTTTTAATTATTTCGTGGACCAAAATACCCTTCACAAAATCAACACAGTGACGAAACTGATTCCGACGACTGAGTTCCATTCCAAACATCCAACCATCTTCACGAACAAGAGAACAGCAGAACTAGGGTTTCAATATCATCTTCACTATCGACATTAGAGCTTCATTATCTTCTGCAAAAATAGTTCTCATTCATTCCTCACAAATTTTTCTGATCCCGTTTTCTCAGTTCATTGTCATCTCAGTTTATCTTCGTCACGTCGCATCTTCATCTTAGGGCATATGAGCTCGTCATTAAGTTTCATCCTAACTCTGGTAAGTTGTTCTACAATACAACTAGATTTTCTCTGGACACACAGTTAATTGCATTTTATATTAACTTTCCATAAATTAAGATTTCAATTTCGTAATAAAAAGCTACATGAATTTGGAAAAAGTTATTTCAGTGTGTTTTGAACTTATTCTTGAAGATGTTTGTGTGATTTTATCTGTAAATTTCTCTGGCATTTGAATTTCTCTAGTTTTTGCTTGATGTATGTTTCTTCTTTCAATTTTCTCTGGCATGTTTATTTTGAAAAAAGTTATTTCTCTATATTCTTGAGCATGTTTCTGCGATTTTGTCTATAAATTTCTTTGCTCTATAAATTTCTTTGTAATATGTATTTTTAATTGAAATGTCTATCTTTCTCTGGAATGTCTATTACTCTCTTGTCTCTGTCTAAGTTTTTCTGGTATTTATAATTTTCTCTGACCACATCACTTTCCTCTCTTATGTGTCTCTATCATGTTTAATTTTCTCTGGTTGTGTATGTAAATTTCTCTGGCATTTTAATATTATGAACTGGAATGTATGTTTCTTCTTTGGATTTTCTCTGGCATGTTTATTTTAAAAAAAAGTTATTTCTTTGTGTTTTGATCTTATTCTTGAACATGTTTCTGTGATTTTGTCTATAAATTTCTCTAGAATATGTATTTTTCTCTGAAATGTCTATTACTCTCTTGTCTGTGTCTAAGTTTCTCTGGCATTTATAAATTTCTCTGGCTACATCACTTTTCTCCCTTGTGTGTCTCTATCATGTTTAATTTTTTCTGGTTGTGTATGTAAATTTCTCTAGCATTTTAATATTATGGACTTGAAATTTTCTCTGGAATGGAAATTTTCTCAAGAATATGTAATTTTCTCTGGAATGTGTAATTTTCTCTGGTATGTTTATTTTGTTCAATTCTTGGTTTCAATGTGGTATAATTTTCAGTGGCATGTTTAAATTACTTTGTTTATTTTATCTTGCTAATTGTGGAATGGAAATTTTCTTTGACTTGCCATGTTTACTTTTCTCTGTCATTCATTTTCTGTGCTTGCTAGATATATGTTTCTTTTTTCAATTTTCTCTGGCTATATTTTACTTCTATATGTAATTTTAACAATTATTAAAAATTTCTCTGCCATGTTTATGATGCTTTGTTGATTTTCTTTGGCAATGAAAATTTTCTATGGCTAGATGTATTCCACAGGAAAACAATTAGTACTCTAACATTTAATTTTTATTGTCTGATTTTGTCTGACATTTATAATTTTCCCTGGCCACTTTAGTTTTCTCCCTTATTTGTAATTTTCTCTAATATATCCAATTTTCTCTGGCATGTTTAATTTTCTCTGGGATTTAATGTTGACATCTTTATGTTTTCATCATTGTCTAGAAATGGCAAAACGTAAAAGCAGCAAAACACCGGAAACACCAAGCAAGAAACAAAAACTCTCTCAGTCTTCTTATGATCTAAGATACCTGGCCACCTTAGTTTTCTCCCTTATGTGTAATTTTCTCTAATATATCCAATTTTCTCTGGCATATTTAATTTTCTCTGGGATTTAATGTTGACATCTTTATGTTTTCATCATTGTCTAGAAATGGCAAAACGTAAAAGCAGCAAAACACCGGAAACACCAAGCAAGAAACAAAAACTCTCTCAGTCTTCTTATGATCTAAGATAAAAAACCACCAGCAAAACACCGGAAACACCAAGCAAAAAATAAAAACTCTCTCAGTCTTCTTATGATCTAAGATAAAAAACCAGCAGTAAAACACCACAAACTCATTGCCAAAACACACAAGGCCAAGGTGATGAAGCAACTAGCATCAAGATGAGTACCCCAACTTCAAAAGACTCAAGCTCAAGGGGGAAAAAACCTGTTAAACTCCAAATTTTTAGTCTCTTTCTCTCCTTTTTTCAAACACTTAAATTCAATTCAAACCAACTTGTAGAGCTTCACAAAAGACCCTATTCTACTATTTGATCCAAGCTCTAACCATTGGAAGTATGGATCCAAGGAAATCTGATGATGATGTAGTTGTAATAATCCAATGTTATAATGAAAAAACAAAAGCATTCACAGTTGGTAAAAAGAACTTGACCTTTACAACCAATGACATGGCCTTGATTTTTGGTTTGCAAGGAGGTAAAGGAGGCATGTCATTAAAATACTCTAAAAAGCCAAAATCTGCATTCCTAAGGAGAAGATTCCAAAAGGACACAAGGCTCACTGGTCCTGTTCTTAAAAATGCCTTGCTCAAAGCAATGAAAGGCAACCAACCAACTGACTTCAAAGATGTAGCAATCATTGTTACATTGTACTTGTGTCTCACCTTATTTTTTTTTGCAACAAGTGAGAATTCAATAGGGTGGGTTTTTATAAAGTATGTGGAACCTCTTGAATCAATGAAACAGTATGATTGGCCAGAAGCAATCACATCAACATTGATTGATTCTATCATAGCATTGCACACAACTCCAGAAAAAGTTACGAGGTGTGTCATTGCATTGCTGGTAAGTATAATATCCATTCAAATTTGCAGTTATCATACTTAAAAATTTGTGTGTTTGGCAAAATTTAATTACTTTAATTTTCATCATAGTATTGGCTATGTGAACATGCAAATATAATTGACTTGGAAGACAGTAACACAACTGACTTCCCAAGATGTGCCAAGTGGAACCTGCAAAGCTAGACGAAACAGCTACAGAAGACACCAGTCCACTCTCTTGCACTTCGGCAGGTTAGATTTCTATCACCACTGAAATCTCAGTGAAATTCCAAAATTTCTCTGACCACTGGTTCGTTTCCCTCCTTATGCCTTGATTGATTGAGATCAATTTTTTCTGAACTATCCATTTTCTCTTCTTTGGTTACCACTGGTTTATTTTTGCCATTGTAATCAATTTTCTCTGCAATTCAAATTTCTCTGACCACAATTGTAGCACATTAACTTATATGCCCTGATTGATTTTCTCTAATATCTGAATTATGTTGGTTGTTTTATAATCTTCTTTGGCCCATAAAATTGTTTCTCCTTGTGTGTAATTTTCTCTGCCTTGCATCTTTGATTAGCATTGTTTATTTCTACCCTTCTAATGAATTTTCTCTGGAATCCAAATTTCTCTGACACAATTATAGTAAAACATTAACTTATATGCCTTGGTTGATTTTCTCTGATATCTAAATTATGTTCCTTGTCTGTAATTTTCTCTGCCTCATAAAATTAACTCCTTGTCTGTAATTTTTTCTGGCCCATACAATTTTCTCTGAAGTTTGTTTCCCATTAGTATCATTTAGATGAATTTTATTTTCCTTATTTGAATTTTTTTTCTCAGTGAATTTTGTAACATTTTTCTAATAAAAGAGCCTCTT